CTTAACAAAGTTGTTAAAATAAATACTAAAAAATATATTTTACTTAGAAAGTATATATTTAAAGTTAATATTTAAAGGTTTATTTTAAAAATTACAAAAATTAAAAGTAGACACAGACAAATTTGTCTGTGTTACAAATTAAGGGATAGAGTTATAATTCTCAGAAACAGTCAAAGTTTATCATAAGTTGAGTACAGAAGTCTGAGTAATTATTCAAATTCATTAACAGTAAGGTTTGAATACCATATCTCCTATATAACAGTTGGCAATCTAACCACTACACTAAAATTGCTAAACCTCAAGATTAATGCTAATTTATATTATATAGATTATATTAGATATTATAGTTTATACTATTTAATATAATCTATATAATATAAATTAGTATTAATTTTTAATACACTAAAGTAATCAAGTGTTTGAGTATTCAAATATTTACCAAAAAAAATATTATTTGATATTTTCAACTATTTTGAAAACTATAATAAAATTTTTAGTAAAAATTTTTGAAACTTAATGAAAATATAATTAATTTTTTTAAACAATTTTTAAACAATTTTAGAAATAAATTTATTTTTTTTTTTCAAATAAAATACTTTAAAACTTTATTTTTATTCTAATTTAGAAGTTTATTGAAAAACTTTTTAAAACTTTATTTTTTTATTTATTAAACAATATATTTTAATTACTAAAATTTTATTACAAAAATTTATTTTTCTTTTAGTAAACTATCTAAATTCATTCTTAGATTTTTTTTAACTTATTCTGAATTCAATATTCATTCTACAAAAACCTAATCTAAACTACTTTTTGAAACTAAATAAATCTTCTTTCAAATTTCTTCTTCTTTCTTTACTAAATTCAACTTTGATTTTTGATATTGCAAAGTCTTATTTTCTTTCTTAAGTTGCTTTACTTCTTCTTGCAACTTTAGAACTTCTTTTTGAAGCTCTTATATCTTAGCTTTTTGAACTACAAGTTTTTCTTGAACTAATTCTTCTTTTGAAATTTTTAGTATCAAAAAATTAATAATAAAAAATTAGAAAATTATGATTTTCTAAGTATATATACCCAAAATAAAAACAAAAAATCAACAAAAATCTATTTACATATTAACAAGAAACTTATTCAAAAAATATAATAAAAAAATTTATTATTTATTATACCAGTTGATATAAATCACTTATCTCTTTAACCAAGCTCAGAAACTTTAAAGCTTGAAACTGCAAGAACTAAAAAACAATGAACTAAACCTTTTTGTCAAATTGCTTTTGCAAAAACATTAAACTCAAAAACTTTTTACTAACTATTTTCATGAAAACATTGAACTCGAAAACTTTTCACCAAATCACTTCATGAGAACATTGAACTCAATTTTTCGCCAAATTACTTTCATGAAAACAAATTTATTAAACTCATAAAAAACTTTTTTAATATATCAAATTTTAAAATACAACCAATAATGATTCAGTTCGACTCGTTGGCGGGTTCTGGGTCGGTCTAAACTACGTGCACTCTTTACTTTAAATTCGAATAAATGTCAAGTTTAAAACCGTTATTCAGCGAGCAAAATAAATTTTCAATTCAGTTTATAGGTATATAAATTTTTATAAGATTGAGTACTATGCGACACTTGCTTAATTATCATCGAACAGCATTCGCTACAATTGTTGAAATTTTAGAATCTTGAAACATTAATTAAATTATTTTTTTAAAGAAATGGCACGATTAAATTATCGTTCATACAAAAACTTTTATAGAAGTATGGGTTACGATATATAATGGGCTGCGTTTTTGATCGCCCAATAAAAAAACATGTATGTTGCCTGTTACATAATATATTCCTGGATACTATTTTATATGTCAGAGATTCGGAGTTGCGCAAACTTATAATTTCTTACGATCCTTTTAAAATATGTCAAATAACGTACAACTAAAGCAACTTGCGGAAAGATCTCGGAGTGTTGCTAACACGATCGTAAAGCATGATCTACCATTAATCGAACGAAATTTGGAGCAAATCGAGAAACAGTCGCGTAAACTTGCTGATAAAGTTGTAAAACCGGGAGAGGCCCCTGAAAGAAAGGCGTGCGTGTTTAATTCCTTTTATTTTTATTTTATTTTTATACTTAATACTCATCAAGATAGCTATATGACTAGAAGCATAAGTGCAGTCAATCAGACATATTTATTCCTTCAAAACAAATAATTCCTAAACACACATTTTATGACCCGAATCGTGTCTTATACCATAATTTGACTTTCTTGTTTTTTATACATTTTAATCTATCTTATACTTGGTCTTTTATTGACATATATCTAGTCCTTACTTCTTAGCAAATATTGGTATCGATGGAGATAAATTGACACAAGATGTGAAAAGTATTTCTGTGTTAGGTGCTTTCGAACCACGCGCCATTTTACTTGATACTGATGTTGAGGTATGCAACGTTAAATGAGTATCGTTAATGTTGACAATTTTTCAAAAGTTTCAGTTAACATCCTTCTTTTATTATAGAGATATCTTGACCATAAACACCAACAAACGATTACAAGCATTATAAAAGATGGTTATACACAAGTAGTTTCACTATATATACAATTACCACAATAGGCCGATCGCAATTATTTTTTGTATGCTCATCTATTATTCACCTTTAATCATTTCTTAATTAAATTTAGACTGACAATGAATATAACGCTCTTTTCGATTGCTGTCTCAGTTCAGAATGGGATAAAACTAAGAGGAAAGTATTTGAAGAATTTGGCCAACACATTACAATGAGATCGACAGAACTTCCTTCTAGTGCTGGGGGTAGCGTATTTCGAAGTCAGTTCTCGCCAAGCGCATCTTTATCGAGCAGTTTCAGGGCTTCGACTTCGGTTGGCATTTTAATGCGAATATATTTATTTCTTGATAGATACAATTTGACTTATGACTTTTTTTTTTATGACTATAAGAAACCTTCGTATATCACTTCTGGAGAAAGAAGAATCTCATTTAAAAATGAATCAACTTTGCAATTAAACCAGAGGCATTTGGTTTATTTCGATGTTGTTGTAAAATTGAATAATGCTAGGTTAGCAAAAATTGAATATGGCATTATAAATGAATTTCACAACGCTGCAAGAAAGATAAGTTTGGATTATGTATGTGGATAACAATAAACATCTTTTTTTTTTTTTTTTACAAAATTGATTATACAGCAAACTCTCAAATATCCATTTATTAATTCACTTCGTTAGGGACGAAAAGTAGTTCAATGTTGGCGGGCACTTGCATCTATTGTTGGAGAATCTAATGTCATTGATGGTAGTTTTAAACGTAATCCGTTAAAACAGCGTCAGTTCGCACCAGCATACCAGGCGCCAACGTTTGATACTGCGTATAAAAGTCTTTGCTTTGATCTCATAAATGGAGCTAAACGTTATTTAGAGGAATCGTACGTAAATTCATTTTATATTATGTTTTTAATGGGTTGTACAGTATCTTTTTTTTTCTTAAATACATTTATTTTATTTCATAAATTCAAGGTATCGTGAATGGTCTACCGCTTACGTAAACTCGTTTCGAAATGAAGCCATGTTAGGTGGACAGCCTTCCGCGGTTAACATGGCACGTGCCGTTTTACGTGCAATACATAGACCAAATGGCGGTATCCCAACGACAGGTTTAAGAGTATGTACATTAATTAACAGCATTTCTCGTTTGTTAATAATAATTAATTATTTTTCGTAGATGGTAGAAAATATTCCTGTATGGGGACATATCTTTATCCTTGTGCGACAAGGATATTATAAAGAAGCTCTGGAGGTGGCTAAAGGATATGAAAACGTACTTCCCAGACAAGACTTACAATTTGTGACATATTTTGAACGGTTTATCACCAATAATAACAGGTATAAACAATAGTATGGTTTTCTTTAACTGATTAACAACCGTTACTTATGTTATTCTTTTGTCCAGACTTCCTTCGCATGATAGACAAAAATTAGTAGCAGAAATGAAACAATGGAATCCTTTAACTTTTCAAGATAAAGATCCATATAAGTTTATTATGTATCAAATAGTTGCACAGCTAGAAGAATTACCACAGAAACCTTCGATTGAAAGTTTTCTTCCCACTTCAGAAGATTTCATGTGGATTCGGGTAATTTAATAAATGTTTAGACAGAATTTTGTATTTGACATCTATCAAACACCTTAAATTTTTAATGTTGATTTGTTCTTCAGTTAATGTGTGTTCGTGAGATAGAACCAGTTGTTGGAGCACCGAACGACACTTTATCATTAGATAGTTTGCAAAAAGCAATTCGAAATTTGGGGCCAAGCCATTTCAATCATGGAGGCAAAGATACTATGCAATATTTCCGAGCTTTATTGTTAACAGCACAATTTGAAAGAGTAAGAACTTTATAGCTCGAGTTTAAAATCAAAAATAGAGTTAACCTTTGTTCAAAATTCTTTAAACTTAAAGGCAATGCATTATCTGTACCAGACAGATTTCACTGAGGATGCCGTACATTTTGCTATTGCGCTTGCATACTATGGATTACTCAAAATACCAGAAAAAGGCGAAGCGATGGCATTGCGTAAGTATATGTTACATGTTTGAATAGGTCATGTCTGGTCTATTTGGTCTGGTTTAGTCTTGTCTGTTATAGTTTTCAGTTTGATCCAGTCTTATAATAGATTGTGGTCTCACAGTTTGAATTAAAGCTTTATTAAGGCCATACATTGTCTTTAAACTAGCTCAGAATCTCATGGTCTAAGTTATTTCAGAACTGTGACTAGATCAAAATAGTCCAGCTCATCTCAGTTTTGGCTGGTTCTATAATCAACCTGCAGTCTTATCAGTCCAGACTGGACTGTTAACATCTATATGTTTGAGTTTCAATTTTACTGCATCAATTTCATTTAAAATATTTTTTACTTCAGTTGTCGAGGTTGGAGATCGAATGGTTCCATATTTGAATTTTAACACACTCCTATGTCAATATGCTCGGTCATTAGCAAAGGGAAATGCACCAAGTACTGCCTTCCAATATCTTATTTTATTATATCTCCAAGGTAATCCACTAACGGAGGCTGGCAGATATCAAATTGAATTATGTCATGAATATATTCGACAACTTATATATGACACTGAAGCGTTTAATGAATTGGTTAGTAACATTTTGAATAATAACTATTTCTATATGATTTTTTCAGGTGTAATTATGTTCATAAAACTTTCAAATAATACATTATCATAGGGAAAAATGAGAGAATACATGTCGTTAATGTTTATAGATAACGAAGATGAATTTACTGAAACAATTATCAACACACTTGCACGGCAATGCGTTGAAGATGGCAAATTTAAAGCTGCACGTAGTCTTTATGAATTGACACAGGTAATTAACCTAGATATATAGTGCATTTTAAAAGGTTGCAACATATTTGACTAACAAAATTTCCATTAGAATTTTGAAGAAATTATTGTATTACTTAACAAGATGCTTGCAGAGTATATATGGATATCTATTCGTGGTGTTATTATGCAACCGGAGACTGCAAAGGAATTAGACCCACAGGAGATTAGTCGTATCTTGAAAGGATATGAACATATAGGTATCAGAAAAATATCGCAAAATCGTTTGAAGGATTCTCACACGTTGTTAAGTTTAGTCGATTTTGTTGAGCTATACAAGAAACAAGATTTTGTAAGAGCGGTTTCTGTAAGTGCAATTGTGTTTATCAATTCATTATTTGAAACGTGTATGTATATTCAACCGTCTTTTCCAATCTACAAATAGATTATTCAACAAATAGAACTTTTCCCCTTTGAAGATGATATTAGTATAATCCAACAAAAAGCTAGTGCTATTGAAGCTTTCGATGATCAATTGAAAAATTGTATCCCAGAACTTTTACATATTACCATGAGATGTATATATGCATATTATCAGCAATTAAAAGATCATATGGCAAAAGGAACTCCAGGAATTATGAGAAAATACATGGACGTAAGTCGCGTTTACTTATAAATGTTGATTTTGATGGTTTTTGTTTAATCATTGCATCAATTTATCTTAGGAATCTGTTACTCTTCAACGAAAAGCTCGGGCTCTTGTAACTTTTGCTGGGTATTTAAAACACAGGTAATTTTTATGTTTCTGTTATGTTTTCTAATCCTTTAATTGACTTCGTTAATATTTCCATTTTGTTCATACTCTATTTATTAATATAGCGTTTTGTCTTCTGATATTTATCACAAACTGCATGAGTTGGATGTTCAGATGCGATAATGACAACTTAATAAATAGTAATAATAACTTCTTAATCTTTATTACAATGCTACGTACTGTAAATCAAACTAATATTGTGTACCCGTTTATATATATCAATTATATTCGTTAGAGTCGTAGGTTAATTAAATCGTCAAAAACCTCTTAATCTAAATATCGTATGATATAAACCAGATATATCATTATTAGACAAATATTGCAGTCAGCGATGCCTTGTTAATAGTTTACAAATTAGATTTTCCGACTTTGCATAAAAATTCTATTTAATCAAAATAATAGTATAAATGAGCGATGCCAAGTTAAAACCTATAAACGTAGCTATTTGGTTGTCTAATCAAAAAAGTGACTAAAAGCTACGTATACAGGTTTTCGATTAGTGTCACTCAAATGTCGTAACAGCCCGACCTAAAAAATGTATCTGACGTATTAGATACCTTTTAGCACTGCTTATAGTAAAAATCAACCTGGATGGCTATCAAAACCCCAATTTACTATACCCCAAATTAAAACAATTTTGAAGTTTGAGTGAAGGAATTTCGATAACCACGTTAAAAATTTGATGAAATGAAAATTTTTTTTAAAAAAATTTACAGAACTTTAAAATTCATCGAATTTGATCAGTTGGTTGTCGAAATATCTTTGCTCAAAGTTAATAAAAAAATAATTAAAATTAAGATACAATTTCTACTATCTGATCAAATTTGATATTTAAATTTTACAGTTCTGAGAATTAAAATAAAAATTTCTATAGAATTTAATTTGTTGATTGTCAAGATATTTTCATTTAAAAAAAAACTCTTTTTTGCAGATTTCAATACAATAATAAAAAATTTTTGTAAAGATAGAAAAAGACAAAATATATTGTTATAAAATAAGTTTTAGTTTATTCTTTATTTGTATTTTATAAATTATTTTATTAGTTATACTAGTTGAAAAGATAAAATTCAATAGGTTTGGTGATCTTAGTATAGTGGTTAGGTTATCAAACTGCTATGCAAGAGGTTTGGAGTTCAAATCTTATTGTTGATGAATTTGAATAATTATCTAGATTTTTGTATTTAATTTATAGTAAACTCTGTCTATTTTTAAAGATTATAATCCTGTAAATCATGTTGTATTAATATCAATCAGACATTGGAAATGTTTGATTTATGTTGCATGAATAAATCTTGATAGGATCTAGCAGAAGACCTGTATAGTAGAAATTCTGAGTTTGGTGAAGTAGTATAGATTTCAATAGTCATACTAGTTAATACTTAATCTAGTGAAAAACATGAGTATAAAAGATGCAGATTGAGTAGGTGCAAGTAAGTTAGCTATATAATGTAGCTTAGTACTTCACATTAGTAGTAACAACAACTTGGCTTGGCAGCTAACTAGATTAGAAAGATCTACTTTGTGAAATATCTAGAATCTCAGAAACTATATTTGGTAGAGAGCTATAGCAGGAACTGAGTTTGTATGAATATTAACAAGAGTTCATTTTAGGTAAATCAGTGAAATGAGCATATGTTTATACTAGTAAGAATCGTTTTGAGGTTAACAAGAGCTCTGCATAATCACAATATATTAGACAATACACATTCTAAGAAGATCTAAGTTATGCAGTAAATAGATCTATAGGCAAGTCAGCTAGCTTAAGCAATTAGATATAGTAGTAACGTTAGTTTAAAATAAAGAGAAGAGTTAATAATTAGAGTGTTTAAATAAGTAACTCACAAGTGAGTTACAGGTATGACAATATAGTATAGAACTAACAGATGATCAATTGTTTGTATAGTAAACTACTTAAATTAGATAATAATTAAAGTTGTATATGTGGCTTATTATATACTTATCATGTAACTATAAAACCTTAGAAGATTACTACTATAGTCAATGTTATTATGTCTACTATATCCAAGACTTTTTTAAACTATATCAATATCCAAATATCTAAGTGTCTAAGAGTGTTTAAAGCATATTCAAGCTTTAATAATTAATAAATTTGTCTAAAAAATAGATGATTATATATTTTTTTAGATTCTAAATATTTTTCACTTAGAAAAGTATATATATTATCTTAATAAAATTGTGAGTAATTTTAATTTATATTTTTGTCTATAAATATCTAAAAATGTTCAAAGTTATATCTAAAGCTATCCCATAATAATACTAACTATAGTAACTCTATAATTACAAATTAATAAAATCTAATTAGCTAAAGAAGTAGCTTTAATAATTAAAAAAAAGATAAAATTTAATTTCTAATTAGAAATTGAATATCAAATTTTTGGTCAAATTCAAGTCAAATTAGCCAAAAAATTCAACTTATAATCAACCTATAATCAATCTAAAAATTACTAATCAGCTTAAAATTAGTATCTAATTTTATATTAAATAGTTAGTTTTAAAATTTAACATAAAATTAGATTTTGAATTTAGATCAAATTTTATAACTATTCAATCTAAAATTAACTTCAAAATTTAAAGATTGATTTTAGGTTGAATAGTTATAAAATTCAATCTAAATTCAGAATCTGATTTTAAGCTAAATTTTAAAACTAACTATTTAATCTAAAATTAAATGCTAATTTTAAGCTAATTAGTAGTTTTAAATTAATTATAGATTGATTATAAATTGAATTTTTTGGCTAATTCAACTTGAATTTGACTAAAAATTTAAAATCCAGTTTCTGATTAGAAGTTGAATTTCATCTTTTCAACTAATGATAGTATTTAGTTATAAGAGACAAATTAAATATTAGTTATCATTTACTTGAGTAGAATTATTAGTTTGTTTAGTTATAGTACTTCTAGTAGCAAACAGATATAAAGTAAATATAAAAATAGATAGTATAAATACAATTTTATCAATTGAAAACTACTTCTGAAATAAGAAAATATATGAATAGCTAAAATCTAAAAATAATAAAATTTTTTAGATAATAAAGAAGATATACAAGAGCAAACTATTTCAATTAAGTTTTATTAAGATTATAAATTATTCAAGAGATTTATTTAATAACATAGTAGATATTTTTACAAAAAAAAATATATAAAAAGCTTATAATACAGAATTAAATATTATAAGCAATAATAATATATAATATATATTAGAATAGAGAAATCTAGATTTAAAAACTCTACTAAGAGTTTTTAAAAAAGAATTTAGACAATGTATAAAGTAGAATAGATATAATTAAAAAAAATGAATGATAGAAGTATTAATACAAAATTAAAAAACAAAACTAGAAAACTTTTAAGAGAATTTTAGAAAGCTTTTACAAATATGCTTATAATTTACTATACTACATATTTATAAAAATAGTACTTGCAAAAAATATACTAAAGAAAAAAAATAATTATTTATTTAATTGAATATAAAAAAAGCACAAGTAGCATTTAAAAAGTTCAAAGAAAAAGTCTAAAAATAATATTTTAAAAATAAAAAAAAAGAAGAAGTTTGAAATTTTGAAAGTTTTAAATAAGCTCTAACTTATAATCAGAAAAAGAAAATTGAATAATTGAGTAAAATTTTAAATAAAGAAGATATCTTAAAAATTAAATCTATAGTTAGCTTTGAAAAGATAATAATCAAGTTTTAGTATATATTTTGATATAACTAGATAGACTTATATATAGAAATCCAAAAAACTAATATAGTTATCTCTCTCTATAGTTACAAATTTACTATAATTACTTTTTTGATTTTATTAACTTTTTTTACCATTATTTTTACTTTTATATAGTCTCAATTAGCTTATAGTCACTATTATATTTTTTTTTATTACCACTTATAAGATACTTATATAAAATTATTTTTTATATAATCATTTTATTATTATAAATATTCTAAATCAATTTCATTTATTTTATAACTTTTTTAAAAATATTTTATTAAATTTTTTAAAAACTAATTTTAATTAACTAATAATTGTAGCTATATAGATAAGTCAAAAATTTAATAATCAAATTGATATTAGTATCTTAAGTAAAGTTGTTCAAAAAAATAAATTACATATAATATAAAATTTTTATATAATTTGAATAATCTTTTATTAATTCACTTTTATACTTTACTCTTCTGTAACTAGAAAGTAATTTAAAGTAATTTTTAGTCACAGAAGTATAAAGTACAAAAGTAAATTAATAAAATATTATTTAAATTAAATAAAAATTTTATAATATATGTAATTTATTCTTCTGAACAACTTTACTTAATATGCTAATATCGATTTAATTATTAAAATTTTGACTTATCTATGTAGCTACAATTATTAATTAGTTTTTAAAAAAATTTATAAAAATTAATTTTAATTAATAGATAATTATAGCTACATATATAAATCAAAATTTTAATAATTGAATCAATATTAATATATTAAGTAAAGTTGTTCAGAAGAATAAATTACATATATTATAAAATTTTTATATAATTTTATTAATCTTTATTAATTTACTTTTGTACTTTACACTTTAGTGACTAAAAATTATTTTAAATTACTTTCTAGTTGCAGAAGCATAAAGTGCAAAAGTGAATTAATAAAATGTTATTTAAATTGCATAAAAATTTTAAGTATATCTAATTTATTCTTCTGAACAACTTTACTTAATATACTAATATCGATTTACCTATTAAAATTTTGACTTAGCTATAGAGCTACAATTATCTACTAATTAAAATTATTTTTAAATTTTATTTTATTTTAAATAATACCTCTATATAATTACTATTTTTATTTTATAATATAGATATTATTATATAAAGAGATCTTTATAATAGTCATATCTTTATATAATCACTATTTTTTATATCCTAAGAATGTGACTATAAAGGGATATAACTATATTTATAATATACTAATATATTATAAAGAGGCTATTACTATTAATTTCTTTTTCAAATATAACTTCAAATTTAGAATTATTTTAATTTATTTATCTACTTTAAACAAATCTTATAGAGACTTAGCTTAAGAAAAAGCTATAAAGTAAATTTAACAAGCCCTTAACTTAAA